CCGCTGGCCGCCACGCCGTGGGCATCGCTGCGGCCGGGGATGGTGCCCCCTCCCCGCAGCCCAGCACCCGCCGGAGGATCCCCTGGCGCCTGGCACCCATCACCCCGTTACGCCCGTTTTCCTACGCAGCAGCTGAGACCCAGCGAGGTCGGGTGTCCTGCCCCAGGACAGCAGCTTCCCAAGGCCCACCCGCTGGTCTCTGCTCGGTGCAGTCCCACGCGCGGAGCTGGGACTCACTCGAGGAAACGGGAGAAGAAGCAGCTGCTGTGATGTTCAGACTGTTGGTGGCACAAGGTCTTACGTGAGGACCGGCTAAAACCATTGCCAGCAGCATGGCTGAACGTTTCAGCTAACTGCAGACAGGAACAAACCACCGACGAGGTGCTGCGGGCACTGGCTGTAGCACTAGTCCTTACCGAGTGCTGCTCCTTCGCCGAGGCCGGTGTTTGGGTCGTGTAACCCCTGCTCAGACCCGTCTCCTGCTTGTCACCAGCACTGGCTGCATTAACATTTCACCTGGGCACCCTCCTGTCGGCCGCGAACATCGTCCAGACAGGAAATCAATCCCCTAACCTTGTAACACCGCAGAACAACGGCCTCTTCCAGAGAGCTAGAAAAACGTAAGCTTCGGAAAAGAAAATGGATGGACATCGGCATCTGCCAGATGCAATCATATTTCAGTATTACCCTTGGCTAAGTTTTCATTTTTAAATCAGAACTGTGGTGTGAAACGGCAATCACCTGAGGGACCAGGCACACAGCGCAGCATCCCTGGGGCGTCTCTGCGCAGGGTGCGTTCTCGGTGTGCCTGTCGTGGCAGCACCCAGAGCAGCAGCAGAAAAATCACCTGCTCCAGTTAATTGTACCTAATCAGGATCTATTTTACAACACCTTACCTCAATGCACTGTACTCACAGACACAGACAGAGAAGGCTGAGGACCGCTAACGGATGAGCCTTGTGAAGCAGCAGTCTGGCACTTCGCTGGTCCGTTGGGCAGCGCTGGGAGCCGAGAGACGGGCACGTTGCTCCCGCTCGGCTTCTTCAGGGTTCCCGCTGGCTGCACTGGAACATCTGGCAGGCAAAGGGAGCCGCCAGCCCCCCCCTCCCCGATCCATACTCGTCCCAACACTACCCCACGTTTCCAGCAGAGCCGGTGTC